TAAACTTTTTAAAATACTTAAAGTAACAATGTTTTAACTATATTTCATGAAACATATTGAAATAATATTATTTTAACCCGTATATCTTTCAACTCGACCAGGTTATAACATTGACGGCAAGCCAATCATAAATTCCAAATGGCATGGAAAGCAGGCATGGTTTACACGCAACAAACGACATCTTCTCTTAAAAATCATGATTCATATTGCATCATCCTATAAGAGCGTGTTTGGGAGCGTTGCTGATGTTGTCTTATTCGATCCTTCGACTATACAATATTCTATCTTATTTGATCCTTGTCTTATTTGCTAATGTTGCCCGATGCTAAAACCACTGCTATAAAAATTCTATTAACTGGTTGAAAAGAAACATTCCTTCCTGCTTAAAGAATCTTGAGCGGGTCTAAACTCCATATGAATGACTGTTCTTTTAGCAAAGTTTCATTCCAATGTAATGTTTGATGATTTATAAATACATTATTGTCTAGTCCCTGATTTCTGAATATGATTATAGCTTAGTCTTTTATGTTCAAATATCTACCACTAAATATATGTTTGATAATACTGTCAAGAGTATTTTTTTTAAAATTTTTTTAATTAAAAATACATTAAAAAAAATAGACATTAACATATTAAAAACATTAAAAACCATATAAAAAACATTAATTTGATGTTTTTACAGCTATCACTAGACCTTCTAATTAGTATTATAGACCTGTGATGGGCTACAAAGTTTTATGCAAGTGATATTTGTCTCCAAATCCAAATGTATAAAATTCTTTCTAAATATTTGACACAATCTCATGTTTGGTAAATTTCAAATCATTGATAATTTAGATTGGAAAAATCAATTTTTGATGTCAACATTATGATCATTTTGTTCAATAAATAAGATTAATTCATCAGTTTAAAGTAACATCTTTCTATGTTTCAAGAGTATGAAAATCTTCTAAAGGCTTACATATTTCCATCACCATTAATATTTTATAACATATATTTATCATTTATTAATATTGTAAAAGAGATAGTTGTTCATCGTTTAATATTATATAAAAATTATTTATATTTTATTATTATTATAAAAAAGAAATGACTCTTAGGATATTCACTCTAGCACAATAACAAGGCTGAGAGAGTATAAACACTCATTTAAACATCTAGGTTTAATGGTTATAATCTTTTTTTTTTAATTGCATATGTAGTTTTTAATTATTTATTTATATAATCTAATAGTTAAATTATTTTTTATTTAAAATAGAATAAGGGAAAATGAAAAATCAAAGTATATAAATTGAAAGATTGATAAGCAAGAAAAAGTATTTTTTTAAAAAAAAAAAAATACTAGAAGCATGATTAAAATAGGTCAAATAACTATTTAATTACTTTTAATACTAAAAGGATTGGTTAATTTACTAAAAATTAACAACCCCTAAAACACTATTTAATCCGTTTAAGAAATCAATATCATCGTGTTTTTATTTTGAAAACATGTTAGTATGGTAGATGGTACTTTTTAAAATATTTTTTATTGAAAAATATATAAAAATAATATATATATATATATATATATATATATATTTTTAAAATTTTTATTCTCATGTTCCTAATATATTTTTATATCGAAGTAAATAATGCTCAGTTGATGTTGGACCAATTATAAAGAAAGTTCTAATGAATATAGTTTTGAAACCTGGGATCCAGCCGACCTAGGGTTAGAATCGGGCTGGATTAAAGAAAAAACAAAAAAAAAACTTGGTATGATCCAACAGGTTAACCTAGTGACCTAGCAAGACCCGATCAAGACCTAGCTACAAACCCGTTACTTTTATTATTATTTTGTTTTTTATTAAAACAATATCATTTTAATTTTTTTTGAAAATATTTTTGACCCTGCCGACTTGATCAAGATCCGGTAACCAGACATTCCAATGTAATGTTTGATGATTTATAAATACATTATTGTCTAGTCCCTGATTTATGAATATGATTATAGCTTAGTCTTTTATGTTCAAATATCTACCACTAAATATGTGTTTGATAATACTACCAAGAGTATTTTATGTTCAAATATCTACCACTAAATATATGTTTGATAATACTGTCAAGAGTATTTTTTTTAAAATTTTTTTAATTAAAAATACATTAAAAAAAATAGACATTAACATATTAAAAACATTAAAAACCATATAAAAAACATTAATTTGATGTTTTTACAGCTATCACTAGACGAGCTAGAAAAGAACTTCTAATTAGTATTATAGACCTGTGATGGGCTACAAAGTTTTATGCAAGTGATATTTGTCTCCAAATCCAAATGTATAAAATTCTTTCTAAATATTTGACACAATCTCATGTTTGGTAAATTTCAAATCATTGATAATTTAGATTGGAAAAATCAATTTTTGATGTCAACATTATGATCATTTTGTTCAATAAATAAGATTAATTCATCAGTTTAAAGTAACATCTTTCTATGTTTCAAGAGTATGAAAATCTTCTAAAGGCTTACATATTTCCATCACCATTAATATTTTATAACATATATTTATCATTTATTAATATTGTAAAAGAGATAGTTGTTCATCGTTTAATATTATATAAAAATTATTTATATTTTATTATTGTTATAAAAAAAAATAACTCTTAGGATATTCACTCTAGCACAATAACAAGGCTGAGAGAGTATAAACACTCATTTAAACATCTAGGTTTAATGGTTATAATCTTTTTTTTTTAATTGCATATGTAGTTTTTAATTATTTATTTATATAATCTAATAGTTAAATTATTTTTTATTTAAAATAGAATAAGGGAAAATGAAAAATCAAAGTATATAAATTGAAAGATTGATAAGCAAGAAAAAGTATTTTTTTTTTAAAAAACGTTACTACTGAAATAAGCATGATTAAAATTGGTCAAATAACTATTTAATTACTTTTAATACTAAAAGGATTGGTTAATTGACTAAAAATTAGCAACTCCTAAAACACTATTTAATCCGTTTAAGAAATCAATATCATCGTGTTTTTATTTTGCAAACATGTTAGTATGGTAGATGATACTTTTTAAAATATTTTTTATTTAAAAATATATCAAAATAATATTTTTATATATATTTTTTTAAATTCATATCCTCATGTTCCTAATATATTTTTATATCGAAGTAAATAACGCTCAGTTGACGTTGGACCAATTATAAAGAAAGTTCTAATGAGTATAGTTTTGAAACCTGGATTTGGCCGACCTAGGGTTAGAATTGAGCTGGGTTAAAGAAAAAACCTGGTATGATCCAACGGGTTAACCCAGTGATCTAGCAAGACCTGATCAAGACCTGGCCACAAACCCATCGCTTTTATTATAATTTTGTTTTTTTTATTAAAATAATATTGTTTTGATTTTTTTAAAAAATATTTTTAACTCTACCGACTTGATGACCTGAAGAAGATTCAGTAGCCAGGACAAAACCTGAAACCTGAGCCTTGGATGGGGCCGGCCACCAGGTCTGGTCTTGAATCTAAGCTAATGAGCACATGGACTTGATCCCAGCAATAATGTTAAAGGAAATATTCGCAACTGAATAATTCAAACCTCAGTTCTCAGCACCACGTGAAGAGTGGACAATGTCTAATTATCCAGCCCCGAAGACTTTTCTGGACCATTGCCTATTGCTTTCTGACCTTTATATAAAATTGACACTTCATCACTTCTACCTTGAACAGGCGAGTCCCAATTTTACTGCAAGATCGGTTAGTACACTACAGCAGCTAAGCACTGCACTCCTTCAGATTTTTCTTCGTACTAACACAAAACAAAACGAAGGTGGATTGATGTATGTAACCGCAGATTTATCCAGCAAAAATCTGTACCAAGGGTTGTATTATTGTCTTTTGTTGGCATGGAGTTTTATAGAAGAAGAGGACGAGTGGTGGAAGTCCCAGCAACGTCCACTTCCCATCAGACGAGCTACAAAGGGAGAGCACGAACTGTATCTGTTAGCACAAAAACGTTCTGCCAAAATGTCAATTTTAGAAATTAGTACTGCCGTGTTTCCAATTCTCACTCTTGAGTGGAAATATTTGCAAGTGAACCTTCAGTTGCATATTCAGCAGGACATGAAGAGTGGACAATATAAATACACATACATCCAAGTTCCGAAGACTTGGAGGTCAATGACAGACCAAATGAAAATTGGTTCTCCCTTGTTGATGCTGAAAGAGAAAGACCTTTGAGGACGACCAATCCCACATAACCTTCGAACTCCGTTAATTCTCCATTGTTTGTCGGTTTTCTAGTAAAGCTATTGCCAGAACGTGTATAACTGTAGACTGGATTGGATTAAAGTGGACATAAGAAGGTGAGGATGACTCTTTAACTCTGCATGCCCCCTTGCTTCAGCTGTGAGTAAACTATGAGTGTAAATTATTAAGAAGTTTTCTTCCTATATATTGAGGATTATGTGGCTTGAGGATAAAGAAGGTGAAGATGACTTTGTTTATCAATATTTTATTTCAATTATGTATACACAATCCCATAGTTTAAATTATTTTTTTTATTTAAAATAGAAAAGGGGAAAATCAAAGTATATCAATTTAAGGAATGGAATGAATTTTTAAAAAACAAAATATTAGTAATCAAGATGTATACATTATTTCCATCAGTTTTTATTCTTACTTTACTTTTTTAATTATTAAATCCTAGAAAAGGTATTATTCATATTATGTTTCTGTAGCATTTAATGCTTCTCCCAGTAACTTTGATTTCGTCAGTATACAATCTAAGACTGTAGCGCTTGTCTATAAATACTACTAATAATGCCTTTCTTTACTTCTCATCTTTCCCAGTTAATTATACTTTGAATCCTTAAAAGGCAAAACATGGGGTTTTCACTTTGCTTCTCCCAATCTCTCTCTTTCTTTCTGCTTCTCTTCCATTTCCATTCAACAATTTCATCTCCACTGCCCTCAAATTACTCTTCTTCTTCTCATTTGTGTGCTCATCACCAATCTCTTTCTCTCCTTCAATTCAAACAATCCTTCGCCATTAATAGTTCTGCTTCATTGGAGTACTATTGTCAATATCCTTTTCCAAAAACAGAGTCATGGAAAGAGGGCACAGACTGCTGCTTGTGGGATGGAGTCACTTGTGACCTGAAAACTGGGCATGTCACTGGACTGGACCTCTCCTGCAGCATGCTTTACGGCACCCTCCATCCCAATAATTCTCTCTTCTCTCTCCATCATCTTCAACTGCTCGACCTCTCTTTCAATTATTTCAACTTCTCCCATATTTCTTCTCGATTTGGCCAGTTCTCCAGTCTAACACATCTTAACCTAAGTGGTTCACATCTTGCGGGCCAAGTTCCATTAGAAGTCTCTCACCTCTCTAAATTGGTTTCACTTGATCTCTCTAGCAACTACGGTCTAAGTCTAGAGCCAATTTGTTTTGACAAGCTTGTTCGAAACCTAACCAAGCTTAGAGAACTCTATCTGAGTTCGGTAAACATGTCACTAGTTGTTCCTGATTCCTTGATGAATCTGTCTTCTTCTCTGTCATCACTCAAACTCAAGTACTGTAGATTGCAAGGAAAATTCCCATCCTCAATGGGAAGATTTAAGCAACTCCGGTACTTGGATCTTGGATGGAACGGTCTTGCTGGTACAATTCCATATGATTTTGATCAACTCACTGAGTTGGTTTCACTTGATCTCTCTAGAAACTACGACGCAAGTCTCCAACCATTTTTTTTTGACAAGCTTCTTCAAAACCTAACCAAGCTTAGAGATCTCGCTTTAGATTTTGTAGATATGTCTTTGGTTGCACCTAATTCCTTGACGAATCTGTCCTCTTCTTTGTCATCTCTCTCCCTCGCTAACTGTGGATTGCAGGGGAAATTCCCGGGTAAGATCTTTCTCCTGCCAAATCTTAAATCACTCTATTTGTCATCCAACAAAGATCTCGCTGGCTCTTTTCCTTCGTCTAATTTGAGTAATGTCCTCTCTTTGTTGAGTCTTTCTGATACAAAAATTTTAGTTTATTTAGAAAACAACTTCATCAATAATCTAAAGTCATTAAAATATATATCTCTTCGTAATTGTAATATTAGAATATCAGATCTAGCCCTACTTGGTAATCTCACACAACTCATTTATTTAGATCTCTCAAATAATAATTTTACAGGTGAAATCCCATCATCAATCGGAAATAAAACCCTTTCAAATCTACAATATCTATATTTATTTGATAACTTATTCAATGGAACAATACCATCCTTTTTGTTTGCTCTTCCGTCTTTACAATATCTAGACCTTCATAACAATAATCTCATAGGCAATATAAGTGAATTCCAACAAGATTCATTGGTATACATTGATTTGAGCAATAACGACTTGCATGGTACAATCCCAAGTTCAATTTTCAAACAAGAGAACTTGGAAGCCCTCATTCTTGTGTCCAATAGTAAATTGACAGGTGAGATTTCTTCTTCTATTTGCAAGCTGAGATTCCTTGAGGTCCTGGACTTGTCCGACAACAGCTTGAATGGTTCTGTACCATTATGTCTGGGGAACTTCAGCAGCAAGCTCTCAGTATTGCATCTAGGCATGAACAATCTTCAAGGCACTATCCCTTCAACATTTTCAAAGGGTAATAGCTTGGAATATCTCGACCTCAATGGAAATGAATTAGAAGGGGAAATATCACCGTCTATCATCAACTGCACAATGTTGAAAGTTCTTGATCTTGGCAACAATAAAATTGAGGATACCTTTCCTTATTTTCTAGAAACGCTTCCAGAGCTGCAAATTCTAATTCTCAAATCCAATAAACTCCAAGGTTTTGTGAAGGGTCCGACTGCATATAATTCCTTCTTTAAATTATGGATTTTTGACATCTCTGACAATAATTTTAGTGGGCCATTGCCAACAGGGTATTTTAATACTCTTGAAGCAATGATGACCTCAGATCAAAGCATGATTTACCTTAACACGACAAATCACATTGTTTGTGTCCATTCAATAGAAATGACATGGAAAGGTGTAGAAATTGAGTTTCAGAAGATACAAAGTACCATCAGAGTACTAGATTGGTCAAATAACAGTTTTACTGGAAGAATTCCAAAGGTGATCGGAAAGCTTAAAGCACTCCAACAACTCAACCTCTCTCATAATTTCCTTACAGGTCATATCCAATCATCATTGGGAAATTTGACCAATTTGGAATCATTAGACCTATCTTCAAATTTGCTTACCGGAAGGATTCCAATGCAGATGGCACATCTAACATTTCTTGCAATCCTGAACCTTTCACATAACCAGCTGGAGGGGCCCATACCAAGTGGAGAGCAATTCAACACCTTTAATGCAAGCTCATTTGAAGGAAACTTGGGTTTATGTGGATTTCAAGTTCTAAAAGAATGCTACGGTGATGAGGCACCATCATTGCCGCCATCAAGCTTTGATGAAGGAGATGATTCAACATTGTTTGGAGATGGATTTGGATGGAAAGCTGTGACAATGGGGTATGGATGTGGGTTTGTGTTTGGAGTTGCAACGGGATACATCGTGTTTAGAACGAAAAAACCTTCGTGGTTCTTTAGGATGGTTGAAGATATATGGAATCTCAAGAGCAAGAAAACAAAGAAGCATGTTGGCAGATGTGGTGCTGGAAGAAACTAGATAATGCAATTGATATTTTCAAGTAAGTTTTGGGAGCATTTGAGTTTTCGAGTTTTATGTTCACAGTTCATGCAGGCTATCTTTTCTCTACAATTTATTTGACCAGTCTTACCTTTATAATTTTGCAGTACAAACAAGATATCAAGTGGATTTGACATTGAAACAACATCAGTGTAGCAGATTCCCTTTACTTTTTATCTCTGTTTTTTTTTAGTTTCAAGGTTAATTGAGTGTTACTTTTATGTAAAAGAATCCATGTATGTAATAGGTCAAGCATGCAAAGTTATAAAGTTATGAACAGATTGCTTACAAACTTACGAGTGTGCAAGCAAATTTATAAGAATTAAAACAATTCTTATAAATTTAAAAGAACAAAACTTGACTGACAGATTCTGTTCTCACAACAGCAGCAATATTTGCAAGCAAAATAGAGTAATTCTGATAATTTGTAAGTCACGAATGACTATTAAGAAGAGTAACAAACCCATCTCAAAAGGTATAAACGATGTTCCACAACTCTTACACTGATCCAAAATCATCAACACAATCAGTCAACATTTTTTATTGGCAAGGTTATATCTAAAGCAAAAGAAAGTAAGATAGGTTAAGAGCTCTATGCTACAACAAATCTACAATTTCGAGTCGCCTAAAAACAACATATTCTACTTAGAACATTTCAGAATTGGAAAAACATTAAAATAATTGAAAATACAATTTCTTTTGGCCTGATATCAAGAAAAAACAGATGAATATATCAAGGGTCCTGATTCACAGTACATAAAATACACTGAGCACCACGTTGCAGGCGTCTGAACGAAGTCCACTGGCGTCTCCCACGCGCTAGCAGCCTCCCACGTTCCTAGGTATATTTCAACCAAATTCGATCGCAAACCAAAACAGAATCCTACCTGTCAAAAGAATCAGTTTATATATGATGCATGCAATAACATATCTAAAATTGCTAAGAAACTATACCATTCTAATTAACATTGCCAAAGTGATGCGTAGCTGCCACCTCACGTTCAGAGCTATAGACTATTGTGGGGGTTCAGTATCAGTTGCCAATTTTTCCAACCTTCCATTGACGTTGGCAATAGTTGAGTCCATAGAGTTGTCACTAACCTCCTTAATCCATCTCTGACAAACTCCCTCTGGCGTTAAGAAACCTAACCTTATACTTTTTCCTCCAAGAAACAATTCCAAATGATACCTGAGAACGATCCTGTTTCCCTCATTTATATATCAGACAATGCACTTTATATTCCATCATCTTGAGAATGTTAATTAAAAGGCAAGATGAAGCACTTACAGAGCCCAAGAAGAAGCAGCAGCTCTTGATTTGATGTTACTCGCTATCAATCAATTGGCTGACGCGTCCTTATCCATTTGTCTTGTTAATAGAAACCTCTTGAAAAACCCCATTATTTTCCTTCATTTTCCGGCAATCCAAACATCCCTTGTAACCCACTTGTCCCATTATCATCAACAATTCCTACTACTTCACTAGCTTCTTCTTTGGTGAATTCCATAAAGACCCACTCCCCATCAGTATCCCTCAGAGTACTTGATTACTATGGCTTTGCCAATATTTATGACGTGGAAAGGATCGAATTTGAGTTTGTAAAAATTCAAGGTATCCTCACAGTACTTGATTTGTCGAGTAATAGTTTCACCGGTGAGATTCCAAAATTGATCGAAAAGCTTGAAGGACTCCAACAACTTAACTTCTCTCACTATTACCTTACTGGTCATATCCAATCATCATTAGGAATTTTGACCAGTCTATAATCATTAGATCTATCTTCAAATTTGTGCACTGGAAGTATTCCTATACAGTTGGTAGATCTAACATTTCTTCAAGTCTTTTACCTTTCACATAACCAGATTGAAGGACCCATACCCAAAGGAAAGCAGTTCAACACGTTTGATCATCGTTCATTCGAAGGAAACTCGGGTTTGCGTGGATTTCCAATGCAGGAAGAATGTAGCAATGGCGAGGCACCACCATTACCGTCATCAAACTTTATTGCAGGAGATGATTCAACATTGTTTGAAGATGGGTTTGGATGGAAAGCTGTGGCAATTGGGTATGGATGGGGGCTTATGTTTGGAGTCATAAAGGGATATGTTGTGTTTAAAACAAGAAGACCCGCATGGTTTCTGAAAATGGTTGAAGATCAATGGAGTCTTAATGCAAGCAGAACAAAGAAGAATGCTAGTAGAAATGGTGCAAGAAGAAACTAAACAATGCAGTCAGTATCTTCAAAGTTCGTTCTGTAAGGATTTTATTAGTAATCATAACTACAGTTATATTGTTTTTATTGCAGTGTTATTTCAATAAAGGTTCTGCCTCAAGTGATACCGAGTGGAGTTGACATTGGAACAACACTAAAGTGGCAGATTCATAGTGTTGAAGATAACACTACTAATAATTAAATACTACTAATAATGCCTTTTTTTATTTCTCATCTCTCCCAGTTATACTTCGAATCCTGTAAGTCCAGCCAACATGGGGTTTTCACAACTGTGCCTCTCTCAATCTCTCTCTTTCATTCTGTCTCTCTTCCATTTCCATTCAACAATTTCATCTCCACTCTCCTCAAATCACTCCTCTATATATATATATATATATATATATATTGTTTCTTAGAAGACGGTTACAGAAGAAGGGGAAACCAGCTGTCATGACAGCTGTTATAACCGTAAACCAGCTTTGAACAGATTCTAGAGCTAGGCAGTTATAACAAATCAGTAACAATAAATCCAAAAGTATCAAGTTGGGTACATCACGTAACAGCCTATTCTAGCATTGGCTTACTGTACTCATTTGCAGCAACCCTAGTCTTAGTTGATGTGCCAAGAACTCTCTGCAAGTCTGACTGGGACAATGCCCTAGGTGCCTTGTAAAGGGTTAAAAAATCCACAGCAGGCTCAAACAATGGAAAGATAAAATCCATAATATTTTTGACACCAATAACTATGCCTTGTAGTCCATAACAACACTTTGTTTAATTTCTTCTAGTTCTCTTGAGGAACCATACTATCTTCTATCCATTGCAAGGCAAGTCATTGGCTTTGGATAGAACACAACATGCAACAATTACCAAAACTTCTCCGGACACCCTCAGGCATGCATGGGATTTCTATGCAAGGATTACAAATCAATAAAAATACCTTGAAAAATTAGCTGGGAATATAACAAAGCTTAGTTGTAAAGCTTAGTTGTAAGTCCATCATGATTTATTTGTTAATATTGTTTAGTCCGAAGGATATTTTCAGTTTTTGCCCTAAAAATATAAAACAAAAGGCGGCTAACATTTATCTCGCACGTGTCAGACGCTCCATCATCTTCTAGCAATACGTGTAACTGTAATCGTGATTTTATTACATCATTTGATTTATCTTGACATCCTCTTCTTCTCTAGATGATATGTGTATGGTGCATCAACATGATTTGACTTGAAATTTCTTTTTTCTTTTCCTTTTCTTTTTTCCCGGATTGCATGCTGGCTATGCAAAAATTCATACCAATTCTTCATTTTATTTCTTTTTTTTGATTCAGTCTCTCTTCTCTTATTTGCAATTGTTTTATTTACATTGATTATTTGTAATTAGATTTTATTTTGGATTTAATCCTTTATCATTTGATTTTTTTAATTTCTATTTTTAATCATTTCTTTATGAATACTTTATGACTGATCCATGCAATAATGCTTAACACACATACAATAACATCGCTAAAATTGCTAAGAAACTATACCATTCCAGTTTAGACCCACTCCAAATACTTTTTACTAAGGTGTTCGTATAATTAGAAATTTTAGTTTCCAAGAAACAAAAAGCTTCAATATCATTGGAACTAACATACTTTTGTGCAGCCCCACTTCTACAAAGACTGTCTAAATCTCTATAATTCTATGGTTGCATCTGCTTAAGATTAGAACAAAACTCATAAACTGGGCACCAGAGCAAGAACTTAGAGGGAGTCCAACCATTCCTTCTATTTCGTATCAATCTGCCTCCGAATATGTTCAGCAACCAAACCATCATTAGCATCTCTATGAATCCCTAAAACCTTGCCAAGGTGATGTGTAGCTGCCACCTCACGTTCAGAGCTATAGACTGTTGTGGGTTCAGTATCAGCTGCCAGTTTTTCCAACCTTCCATTGACGTTGGCAATAGTGGAGTCCGTAGAGTTGTCACCAACCTCCTTTTCCATCTCTGTCAAACTGCCTCTGGCAATAAGAAACCTAACCTTATACGTTTTCCTCCAAGAAACAATTCCTAATGATACCTGAGAACGATCCTGTTTTCCACGCTTCTTTCTTCTGCCTCCTGCCAGAGAGCTGGTTTTTTTTCCAAATTGCCGTAGATTTCATTAGAATTCAGAAAATTTGTAGAAAAGGTGTCTCGCTCTTACTGTACACCTGACACTTTCTTTCGTGTGATTAGGATTAAACTTCCCTGCATCTAACTTTATCTATAGCTCAGATTAAGGTTTAGTGAAATAGGACCCACGGAGCTGACAACATGGTTTAAGATTTGGCAAAAACTCAAGAACTCATGAGAGACTGAAAGAAGCTGCAAGAGATATTGAGCTGAGATGGCTACCATCATAATCTGTGAGTAAATGAGTGACTAAATCGAAACCCCAACCATCAAAAATCTTAAAAAACAAATCAGTAGCTGCCTAAACTTTTCATTTGCGAAAACTACATTTTTCAGGATAAAAAACTCATGTTTATATCAGATAATGCACTTTATATTCCATCATCTGGAGAATGTTGAAAGGCATGATGAAGACCAGTACATGAGGTCTCTGTTGAAGTAAACTCAATCTAGAAGGTCAAGGAAGGCAGCCACCAGCTGTCACCGCCCAGCCACCAACCGGCCAGCTGCCAGCCACCGGCCACCAGCCGCTTTCACACCG